TTTTGTAGGTTTGTTTGTACTGTTTACACTCCTTATCATCACACAAGCTCAAATGAGAGAAACTCTTGGCCCTCAAACCATCAATCAAGCAATTTTCATGCATGATGGCTAAGGGACCAAGTTTGTACAAGTTCAATAAATATACAAACAAGACCACAATGACCACCACCCTATCATGCATGATCAAGGGCAATGGTGACCAAGGAAAGTGACACATTTCATCACTTTTGAGTATGAAATGTCCTATTTTCCTTATGTTCGAATTAACGTCTGATTCGAACACATGCAATGCAACGTGGAAGATGCTTATCTTGTTTCTTTTACTTGTTCAATTTTGTTTACCCATTTTAATTATCAAAACCATTCTTTAATCAATTTAGTCCATTGGTGACTGTCCTCTAATGGGAAGATGGCTCAAACCTCAAGTAGTTTTGGGCATGAAAGAGGCATTACACTGTTGGTAATGAACCCCCTTAAGGGATTAAACCATTAGGTGCAACAACTCTATTTCACACTTAGTCAAACAAGTGGTTTGAAACCACTTTCAAAGCAAAAAAAAAAAAAAAAAAAAGACTGAAGAATTAAGGTTGTAGAGATTACGGTGCTAAAATGAAGTGTAAAACAACACTAAAAAATGCTATCAACTCAAAACAATGATGATTAAAGCATTAAAACATCAAGCTAGTGAAGGATTTACAATACAACTATGCAAAACAAGCCTCAACTGAACTAACCAGCCCAAAATAGAGCCAAAGTAGGTTATTTCAGAAGCAAAAACATGCGGGACTTAAGCCACAAAAAGCTAAAATAATAAGCTAACATGCGAGGCTAACTAGGCATGCAAACCAGACACAAGGAGGGGAGGCTAACCCCTCCAATTTTGGACTTCAAAACAAGGTTTTACCACTGAAAAACCTTTGAAATTCCGTGGTTAAAAGGCCTAAAAAAGTTCGTTTGAAAGTGTTGAAAAGATAGCACAAGAGCTTAACAAACAAAGGAGCAAGAAGGGTATACCACCCTCTTACTTAAAGAGACCTCAAACCAACATTTTGAAGTCACAAAAATAGAGTTTTCGATAGTTCAAAACTAGCCCAAAAACAATTTGAAAAGATGATAAAACAAGTACTGAAAACAAGCTTAAATAACAAGTGTTATACCCCCTGAAGCTAAGGCACAAAATAGGCAACAAACCAAGCTCAAACCTCCTTCTAGAGCTCAAACGAGGCTCCAAGTAATCTCAGCCCAAAGGTGAGAGTATTTGGTTAAGGGTTGATATGAAAAAGCTAAGAGAAACTAAGCAAATGTGTGCAAAATAACAACAGAGAGAGAGAATTCTAGAGAGAGAGAGAGAGATTTTTTTTCTAAAAAAGCTAACCCTCAAAAATGGGAGAGGACACCGTCTATATATAGATTAGAAACATCTCACCATACACGTGTATGGAGATGCAACTCAGTGAACAACAGCTGGCACAGCTGAAAACAAATATCTAGAAAAAGAGACCAATGGCCGTCGGCCACAACTGGTAGCCGTCAGCCACCACCGATAGCCGACCAGCCACCACTAGTAGCCGACAAAAACAAGCCCTGGCCGACAGCCTAGGGGGCTGGCTGACAGGTCACCTACTCCTCCAGACTAGAGGTAACAAGCTCTTAGTCAAAAAACATGCACAAAACAATTAAGGCTTCAAGGCTCAACGACAAGGCGTTTCATCGAGGAGTTCAGCTGCTCAAAATGAACACAAATAAGCACAATCATCGAGTGCACAAACGATGACGTCCAAGTCTTGAGGACGGTCAAAAATGGGGTGTCTACACCTTCATACTCCTCAAGCGACGATGCTGATTTATAGCAGCGGTGACCATCATACCTCTCTTTCTGTAATAGAATAGAATAACGTGGAGAGAGAGAGAGAGAGAGAGAGAGAGAGAGAAAGAGAAAGCTAGAGTGGTTTTAGTATGGGTTGCTTTGAACTCTTCATGACGTGGCACCATGTAGATTTGGGGATCGATCAAATCTAATAGACATTGTTGAAGGGTTCTTCCCTTTTCGAAATCAAGTGCTGGAAGGCTTCTTTCTGTCACCTCTTCTAAGTGGACGTAACTGACAATTCAACCAAGCTGACTCAATCCCTAAATCGAATCAAAAGCTAGAGTAAAATGAGGAGAAAATGAGTTTTTTAGCTGAAGTGTGGAGAACAATAGTGAATGAGAAGAAAGCGTTGTTGCTGGGGCCGTTACGGTCTTTGTTACTCCAAAATGATGTCGTTTTTTCCTAAAACAACATTACTGCTATATAATCCTTCCAAAAATGAGATGTGGCCTAATTCTTGCTTTCAGATCAACTCCTTTGTAACATTCTATTTTGGGGGACCGCTCGAGTGGTCAAGTTGTCGCTCGAGCGGTGATTCAAGGCTCCTAGTATCTTGTTTATTTGCATGTGAGACCACTCGAGGAAAGGATTGCTGCAGAAGATACAAATCCTCTGTGGATAGTGTTGTATTGTTTATGGTAGTATGAAGCTGGTCCTACAAGGTTTTGGAAGAGATTTTGGATTTGCTAAGAATATAACTAAAAGAATAGGTTTTTCTTTGGGTTAACTGGTAAAAAGTCCATTCCTATATGGCTATATGTCATTCATTGTTTAATATTTTTTGGTGATAAGAATACATGTTGAAAACTTGCTAAAAAGTTTCCTTACTTACTTAGTTAATTTGTTAATTAATTAATGTTGTGTAATACTTAGTTTAATTAGCTTAGATCATAGGCAGGTAAATAAAAGGGAGAAAGAAGTGGGGATTGGAAGACATGCACACACGCACCCACACTTATTACAAATACGCCCTCACTCGCAGGGACAGAATAAATATTACAGTCCGAATAAATAACTAACTACTTAATTAATTATTACAGAATTCCTATTTAATTAACAAATTAAAGGCAAGGGGAAGGCGGTCGCAGCCGTCGCCTTGGGATGCGCGAATGATGCATGCTTGAATCCGTCTCGCCCGGAAAGCCCGCCCCATACCATTGCTGCCTCTGTTTTACTGCCTTGCTTTTCTGAAAAATGCTAAAATTCTGGGACAGATTCCTTGCACATTGCAGAATACCACCGGCTGGGGGAAATTCCCACCGGCAGTGTATAATTCCCATCGGTTGCTGATTTAGTCACCGGCCATTCACCAACGGCCGGTCGGCAATGTATTATGCCGGCTGGCAGAAATTTCCTACAGGAGACAGTTTTGACAGCAACAGAGGACAGACAACATATTGCATGGGATTTCAAGCACATGTATGCATGGACACACTCCCTATCATGTAATGGACTTAAGGAAGCAAGGCCCTCGACCCTCGGGCCACCAATCACGCATTTCGATACATGATGGCCAAAGAGTCAAGTGTGCATTTCAATGTCAAATGCAATGCACACAAAACATACAAGGGACCCAACCTCAATCATGGTTGGTCAAGAGGCGAGGCAATGCACAACAATGCACATGCGACCTAAGCATGCAAACAGACATACAAACATGCAATACAACTACATGGCACACACAATGCTAACAACATAACATGCACAACGCATTGAAACATGGCATACACAGTGCAAGATGGACTTACACCAATGTGAGTGGACCTCAGCCACACCCACATCAGTGGCCATGAGATGAAAATGAGACACTCAAAATGCGTGCAGATATGCACGCAAACCGAGGAGCGAACCTAAGGCACGAATGCCACTCTACCAAAGCATGGCAAGACATGGAATATGATATGCAAACATGCAAAAAAATTAGTAGCAAAATGAGGGGCAAAACAGCCCCGAAACAAGGCGAAATGACACCCGATGCATGGAATTTCTCCTGAAGTGCAAAACTGGGTACATGAAATGGCTTACAGCTACACAAAGCATGCATAATTGGTACGTGGAATGAAAAGACAGAAGCAAGGCAGCCCCAAAATAAGCATTTTTATAGTTCAAAGTATGGTCAAACAGCAAACACAAATAGGGCAAAACTAGCATGCAA